GTGTCATTTTTACACTGCATGTTTCACAACTGCTTAGTTCTTTTCGCACTCCTTCACCACCTGCTGATCTGTCGTTTGTCTTCGCCCTTTCCGTTTCTGTTTCTCTCCCTCCATTTTGACATAGATCGGTGTTGCTGGATCTTGTCAGGTTACTGAGATACTCTTTCTTCTTCGTTAATGGCATTGCCAGTTTCTTTTATGTTATTGAGACCGCACTCATACACTAGGACGTAGATCAAGCTTTGTTTTTTTGGATTTTGACAGGATGGTTTTGGCATGCATCAGCTGGGGCTCAGTAATATTTATTTGGGATTTGAATATTAGTTTTATTCCGCTTCTCGATTAGATATTGCATGTGTGGAACAATAATGCTCACGTTGAATTTCTTTTCTTCACTTTCAGTTCTTCAGTGGGTAAACATTTTTGCTAATATCTTGAATGTATTACATGTGAAGAAAATCGTTTTTTTTTTGTCTTTTTGAATGACGATAATTTCTATTCATTTCTTCATTCATGGTTCAATGTTACAAAATTTCAGAACGATGCTAAATTACTTTACATGTCAACGTATTTCCCAACGCGCATCATCATTATCTCAGAGTGCATACGAAAGAAATTGCTCGGCGATAGTTACGCAGGCATTTTATTCTTTCGATTCATTTCGCTGTATACCGTACATCTTTCGCCTATAAACTGCATTGTCGATTGATGAATTCTAGATAATTTCGTAAAGTCTGACTTGGTCTTCTATTCACGGGGTTAGTATTCCAAAGTACATTTGGGTTAGGATGCCAAAGTTGTAAAGCTTGAACTCTTTTGTAAGTGGTTTTGCCTAGACTTTTACAGGGTCTACATATTTTTTGGGCATATTTCGGAAAATCATATTTCGTGTGGCTTTTATACATCAGTTTTTTCGGTTAGTGATTAGATGTATTTATGCCATTAAATTTAGGAGTAGTTATCATCATATCTTATTGCCGTAGTAGACGTAGATGTTTGAATAAAATTTTTTTGTTGCTTGTAGTCTTTTGTCATAATAAGGTGATTCATGCATTTCTCGATCTGTCCCGTGGCGTTGTTCATCCAGAACTTCCTTACCTCTTACCTTTGAAGGCATTTTATTTCGTGGTTTTCAGAACCCGCTGAAAATCGAGGTACGTCCAACTTATAGCTTCATATTTATAACCCATTGATGTCATACCCTCTTAAATCACTGTCTTTTCTGGGTGGTTTTTAGTCAGTTTCATTTCCATTTCTCCAAGAAGTGTAATATTTCATAATTGTGTATTGACTCTGTGTAAAGTGAAAAGGCTTCTAATTTTCTCCACACGGTGTAGAACTTTTGGTCCTCTGATATAAGCAGTATTTTGCATTACTCATAAATCTTTCTACGATGTCAGACATCTGCGTACGTATTGATCCTTTGTTTCGTTTCGTTTTAAGCGGTTGGTGAATCACTTTCGCTTAAGAATGTGCTGTTTTTTAACCGACTTGCCTCTTTCAGTGTAATTGAGGACATCTAACATATCTTTGTAACAGGTAGTCAAAAGTGTATGGCTTGAACTTGTTATGAAACAGTTTAATACCATACTATTTTATGTAGCACATGATTTGATTTATGTCATTATTAGCTTTTTTCGATCTATTACTAGATGCGGATTTTCTTGATTCTTATCCATCTCGATCCAGCGAATTGCTTAAGCCCATCCTGCCATTCATTTGCAGGTCTTTTCACAGGCCGTTACTACTTGTTGGTACCCGATTTAATGTTTACCTGGTATCGTGATGGTCGATTTTTCTTTCAAGACTTCCTGCCCATTGACATGTCAATTTCTTCACTCGGGCAGTGACACCACCCGACTCTATTCTGTGCCCTTACCATTGACTTGTCTTCTTATCTTGTTGTTCCCAACATACATCTTTTCATGCTGCGTTGTGTATTCTCAGATTTATGAACGTTTTCAGGCTTAGGGTTCACGTTTCTTACCTACAGATTCGCACTGGCAGCAGGCGCTGATCAGAAAATTTCCGTTTCAGTCACAAGGGCAGTTTTCCAGACAAGAGCATTTTAAATTTTCCGAAAGGGATCCGTGCCTTTTGTACTCTTCGTTCTTCGTTGCCAAGATGAGTTGTCCCAGAGAGACTTAGTTTTGCCTGCGTTCAGTCCTAAGTTCAATGTTATTCTTGTCGAAAGTGGTCTGTATGTTCGTCTTCATGTGTCTATTTCTGACATTCCGCTTTGAACTCCTATTGTCTTGACAGGATTCGGTAAGAGTTTACATTTGCTTCAAGAATCGCAAAGTTAGTAAATTTCAAATAAACTTCTTGGTTATTTCTGTTCGTTTTTTGACAGAATCTGCGGAGTATTTCCGTTTATGTACTACATCCTGATTCTTCCAGCAGTTTGAATGAGAAGCCTTCTAGACGCAATGAGACTTTGTCGATGCGTGTTACAACACGCAACATAGTATCGAACGATTTGGATATTGGTGACTTGTTTTTTACTTATAAAGTGTTTATAACTTCGGTTTCCTTGACTTGGCGGAAAAATTGTTTCTACAGCCTTAGAGAACCATTTTGGCATACTATTGCTCCATGGTATTTCATCACCTACATCACCTTAAAGTGCTTGGATACAGAAGAGTACAACGTTCTTGGATCGAGGTGCATACGTGTTCGTAAAGGCAGCTGAAGCGCGTTCAGCTTGAATATTGCTTGAGTAATAGGCTTAGCTTGTCAGCGTTGGTTTAAATGTCAATAAAAAATTTTGCTTTGCCATAAAAATGATTATTACATATTACTTCGGGTTGCTGACAAATCTCTCCGCCAATGTGCGTTGGCAGATCTTGGTCATTTTTGCATTCCGCGGTTCCATAATATTGTAGCACTCTCAGGCCTTGAGATAGAGCAACATAAAATTCTTGGCTGGGCGAACGTGTATAGTCGTGGCGCCAGCAGAATCACCGACATTTCATTTAGTTGGCAATAGACAATGAACATAGTTGGTTTGAAACCGCCGCAGTAACCAGTTCTAATTTCTGTTAAAATTATGCTGTTAAGTTTAGAATACCTCAGCATGAACAGTCAGTCGTTCTCAATTCGGTAGTTTGGTTAGCTAAAGCATTATTTTCACATAGAAATTTATCATTTTAAAGTTGTTGTTAGTGTAAAGTTTAAAGATGTAAATTACACTCAGATTGCATTTGTTATGCCATGGACATGTTAATGGAACTTCCGCAATTGTGCGATCAATAGCAATAAGTTTAATTCATCAAAATATTTTCTGTTGAATATTAAAGGTCTTCAGTTGCAAAGATACGGGCTATTAGGGTGAATAGTTAATGGGAGAAGAAACAGTTTAACATACAGAGTTTAAGTATATCGTTTTATTCAGGTGTGCGCGGAACGATAAAATGGAGTATTTATAATCTATATTAATCCCCAAATAAAATGGCAAAGTGATATTTATCAGGCAGTCTGTCCTGGCATGATGATTCCTTTGCAAAAGATGATAATGTTTTGATGAGGATTAGATGAGGAAATGAAGAAGGAATGAGTTCTTTGCGCCATTTAAATTGTCATGACCTGGAAAATTTTCTTTGGCCACGTTGCTGAGAGTTGTGCGTTTTTATTAGCAAGGTCTTGCCTCATTGACAAGGACAAGGTAGATATGACAAAAAGATACTCTGTTTGCAAATCTGGGTAAAAAAAATTTCCATGTGAGAATAATATTCATTTCTGAAGACACATAATGTATGCATTCTCTGGTTTGAAAAATGCACCCTTTCGATAAATGTTGATTTGATTATAAATATGCCATTTTGTGTCGTGGAGGGTACCGTATGTTTCGTGTTCTTTGTAACACGAACTTTTTCGGAATGTTTGTGATACAAAGAATTTTCGCTAGACAGAGAAGATTAACCATGTATTTCGTTTTTTGACATTGAAGTTATTGTCAAAAAGTACTTCACTGGTAATCGGTCTTCAGAATTGACTGATTTAATTTAATCGTTTCTAAATTGTTTTGTATTCCTGTTGGATCTACGTTTTCCCTTATTTAAAATTATTATTGGCAGGCATATTTTTTGTGTTACTGTGAGATGGTTTCCAGTGGCCTGTCGTTCATTCACGTGAAAGTGTACTGATTAGACTTCGAAGGACGTCTAGTTGAAAGCGATGCAATAATGTGGGCTACTCCTCATTCTATATACTATCGTCCAGAGTAATAACCTGTCCATATGTTTATAGATTGAAATTAGTTCGCAATTCAGCTATGCCGGTTAAGGGTTGACTGATATTTTGCTCGCGGTTTTTAAAGCCAAGCCTATTCCTATACTTCAGCATCAGCACTGTTGCCTGCATTTTCAGTTTACGCCGTGGCTTTGACATTAGGTGAGGTTAAGGCAAGGGTCCGGTGAAAGCCATGAATTACCAGTCTTAACTGAAGAGCGAATTAATTTTAATCTGTGCCGGCATGGGCAAATTAATATTGTGGATGGTAACATACATATGAGCATCAATAAATACGCAAACCTTGAAACAAACTTTGTGATTTATGACATTACTCTTTTGTTCCTCAATGCCTAGGAGCCAAGCTTGAAACATTTTCTTGCTCAAATGATCCCCTGATCCTAATGGTCTGTCATAAAGAGCTGTTTTGAATCATGAGTCTCAGTTTTTACGCGTGTGGTTAACTCTGCTTCGAGTACTCCTGCAGTTTTTACTTTACCATCATCATTAAAGTAGGTACGTTTAATTTTTAAAGTTTTTTGCCTTTAATTACACAAATTTTTGCTTTTCTATCAGTTATTAAGTTGTGAACAGGTTTTTCTTAAAAACGTTTTTTTTTCTTTAGGCAAGGGCAGAATAGATACAGAGAGGTTGCACAATAAAGGATGCAACTGCAAGAAATCGAGCTGTTTGAAAAACTACTGTGAATGCTACGAAGTACTGATGAGCTTAGTGCTTTGATACCTGTTGGTTTGCAGTCGGCGTTTCACCGGTGCGCTCTTTTCAGGCTAGGGTGCCATGTACGGCCAGATGTAAGTGTAATGGTTGCCGCAACACTGAGGCGGATCGTTCGAATCGCGGCAGACCATGTTCTAGCTTGCCTCAGTGGCGAACGACGTCGCCCAGCGACATGTCGGTTTGCAGCCAAATTTGTGAGTACCCAGTCAAACCGGACAGCCCGCTGTCGACGGACACACAAGAGAGTGCAGAGTTTAAAAAGTAAGCGCGGTTGTCTTGTATGCTTTGTGATTGGCCGTGACCCCCGTTCACTCATTCAGGTTCCCGTGGGATTTCATGTCTGACGACGCGGTGGATGCAACAGCGCTGTGTTTGATCGCTCAGGTGCAAGAGCTTTCAAAGAAAAATTCGATCGATTTTTTAAACGTTCAGTCCGCTGTACTCGAAGAATTCGGGCGCTGTTTGCAGCAGATTATACAGTCCGTCTCGTGAAAATCCGTTTTGTTAGATGCTATTAAATTATTATATTGATAATGTTTATACGTTGAGATATTTTATGCAATGTTATTTACGGCTGCTGCAGCACGATGTTTTATATATTTAATCATGCTTTTGCAATACACCGTATTGTTATTAATTGTTTGGTATTTATCGTTTTCTTTTCGGCATTGAAAATCAGAATGGTTGAGGGAAATTATACGAGCTGCGGTTTTAATTGCCATAGTAAATCTAAT